GTGGGAAAGACGTTGTATCACCACTTAGGCTCATAGTGGTGGTTGTCAGTTAAAGAATCTCCCACAGAAACCATATTATTTTCTTATATGAGTAAAGTTGAGTTTGTTATTGCTTTATCTTTAACGAACTAAGTTGGTTGCAACTGTTTTATAAGCTTTATATATATTGCATGTGCTTTATTGCTTTATATTTGAGTTAAGTTATTCAGAAGTTGAGAAGAGCCAGGTAAGTGTTTCTTTCAGAATCTTTTCAAGCCTATATCTTGCTTTAGCTTTCCAATTCGCATACTCGTACATTCAATTTACTAATGCCAGTTGGCCTGCATCTTATTATGATGCAGACGCAGGTAACCAGGATCAGCACCCAGCGCCTCGTTGATCCAGTTTGAGCCTTCAGAGACTGTTGGTGAGCCTCCTTGCATTCCGGAGGACTCCTTTATTTGTTTTTAGTCTTTCAGATGTTAGGATGATCGGGGGTCCTGTCCCGACATCCCTCTTTGTTTTAGAGGCTTCATAGACAGTTAGTAGTCGGATGTCTTTACATTGTTATTTCATATGTTAAGACTTGAGTAGCCATTTTGGCCAAGTTGAATGTTGACTTTTAAACATTCTAAGCTATTTGACTAGGTTATTTGAGTAAGTTCAATTTGATCATTGTATTACTGTCTAGAGTCTTCCGCTGAGTCAGTAAGCCAGGCCAAGGGTTCGCTTGAGGCCAGCAATGGTCTTCAAATGTCAGCCACGTCCGGGGTGTAGGCCCGGGGCGTGACATGTAGCATTGGGTTCTACTCATATCCCTGCCCTTTCCTTTACCTTGAGCAGCAAATGCAACAGTGACATCATTTTCTTTCTTTAAAGCATTTTGTGTGACAAGACGTTGGTCTTCATGAAGTAATTCCCTAAAGCAAACATCTAAAGAGGGAGACGGGTCACGATTCATCAAGTTAGAGCGAACACTCTCAAAGTCGGAGCGTAATTTCATCAAAAATTGGCCTTGCTTGCTTTGCTCATGAACTGCCTGAATCACTGATAGAGATTCAATAGGTATTTTGGCATAGACAATATCTAGTAAATTCAGCCCATAAGTTCTGAAATCCAGAAAAATAATCCTGAATAGAAAAACCTCCTTGAGAGTAATTAGCAATTTCATACTCTAATTGAAAGCGTCTTGCGCTATTATCTTGGTTGTAAACCTTTTGTAAGTAATCCCACATGGCCTTAGTTGTCTTGTATGGCCTGAGATTAAGAATAATAAGAGGGTCGATTGACCCTAGAATCCATGTCATCACCCGAGCATCTTTAATCTTCCATTCACCTAGCTTTGTTGCATCAGTAGGAGTAGGATCGCTTCCATCTATATGGCCCCATAGTTCTTTGCCGGTGACAAACAACTGAAACTGAAACTCCCAAGAAGAATAATTTTTTCCAATAAAACGAACACCGAAGGATTCAAAGTGATGTGAATTCATGCTTTTGAATAGCTATGAAAACTACAAAGACTCAAGAAAGCAACTAGAATTACCAAGAACAAAATTCCCAGGTGGTAGGACTGATTGTCGATGAACAGTCAACCAAAAACCAAGATTTTCAAAAAATATTTAGAAGGAACCACAGATGACTCTATGAAACAAGACAGCCAAGAGAAGGCTCTAATACCATGTCAATTTTCTGCTGAAATGCCTCTCAAAGTGAGAGTCTTTCCATTATATAGAGAAATAAAGATTACACATCCCTAAAGATCCATCATTCCTATCCCTAAAGATCAGCTATTCTATCTCTACAAATCTGCTATTCAATCCCTCTAAATCTGTCTTGCTATCCCTCCAAATCAGCTATTCTATCACAATTTTTATTCCTTTGATTCTACAACAAATGTATATGATCATGCTAATTTATATCACTATATAATTACATTAATATATACAATCATTTAGTTGTCCATCATGCTAACAATGCTAAGATGTTCTTTAAATTGTTGAATCCTCACATTATGGTGAGGTTGCAATAATTATCTCTTCTTGCAAAGTTTAACTTTCTAGATATAAACTAATAAAAAAAGAAACTTACTAACTATTAGAAATTGTATTGTGTAGATACATCTTTTTTTTATCAATCAGTAGATATATCTTCTATCGCAACTAGAGGAGAATACTGTGTGATAGCCTGGTAGAGTGATAGGCACTAAATACAGTAACAGAGTACATGAAAGGCATATCCTAACTTTCACAACAAGGGCCTTTCCAATGATGCAAAATCAGTCATTTTTTATCTTGTGAGCATTGTTCACATTTGCTACTCCTGAACTCTTATCATTTTCCCAGTCTATGAAGATCAGCCATAACTGAAAGAGCATGATGATAAAGAGGCCTCATAGCATAGTCATACCTCATATATTACATCAGAAAATGATTATTAGGAACATTATAAGTTCTGAGTATTAAATGGGTAGTGGCTCTCTTTTAAGTGCTCCTCCCATTTCCATCCTCCAAGATTGATCTACCAAAGATGCCAACTCCCTACAGATAACCACCAATGCAGCTATTAGAGAAGGAACCAAATTTTTTAATACAATAAGAGCACAAGGTACATTTATCTCATCAAATATCAATCAAGAACCAGAAATGAATTGCCAGGAAAATAGAAGTACCATAAACAAAATAATGATTTATGTCTTCCAATTAAATGCCATTTTTTGACTATGCTAAGTTGAGAGTTGAATGCAGTTCTATCTCACTTGTGGAAGATAGTGGCCAAAACTAGTTTTCTGAATCCTTCCAGGGTAGCAGTGAAAAATATAACCGGCCAACTAGTTTTGCTTAGAGGGCACAATTGATTGATTAATCTTTACTCAGACATTGCCAACTGTGTAAGCGTAAAAGCATATCCTTACATCGTCTACCCCTTCTATTTCAAATTGATTGTTTTAGTTTTCCCATTTCTTTGATAAGTTTTCACCTTTTATTGCAAACAATCAAAAGTTTGACACACTCAAATTTTACATTTTCAACATTTGAAGAATTACTCTGTTGTTTGCCTGTTTTTTTCTTCTTTTTTTAAGATCAAGAAGTCTGTCCAGAGCCAACCCTTTGGGCCACCGCAACCTTCGAAATTCTGGGATGATGTGCCCTCCCCTCTACCATTCTCTACTTAAACATTGAACTGAGTTCTTTTGGCATGGGATCAAACTTGTGAATCAAGATACAAGTCCCACAACCTTTGCCAATTGAGCTGACCCGGGGAGGCATCTCTTTTTTTGGCTGTTCCTCATACAGAAACACACATATTGTCAATAAAATACAAATTCAGTGCTTTTACATTTTAAAATTGTAGAAGGCAAACAAGATATGCAATTTGAAACGGAGAGTAAACGAATATTTCTTTATCATGACACCTAATATCACTATGGGACCACCAAATGTGACCAAGGAAGTGGCAAAGGTAGTACATGCGGCATGTATGGTAGTCGCAGGGCAGGAGTTTGAATCCTGACTGATGATCCAAGTCTAGTGGAGTAGGGTAGAGGAAAAATCCCATTATCCACCAAGTCTGGAAGTGGCAAACAACAGATTTCCCAGTTATCAAGAAAAAGGGACAGGGAGTCTGAAAAGTTTCCAGAGTTCACAAGTTATGGATAAATGACTTCCTTCACGACGTCACCAGAAAGTGTCGATAAATTTTCTCGATATCAATAAAAACCTCGAGTGAACCATGTTAGACATCTAGTATGGTGATTCATTTCCAATAAATTAACATATGTAAACAACAATAACAAATGGACCAAATCAGGAACTTACTTGAGGTCATGGCTGACAACAAGTAAAGTTAGCTCCTTCTTTAGATCCTTTAACAATTTTGCCACATCTGCACGAGCCTTCCAATCTGATTTCCCTCATAAACAATGAACTTTTTTAGAAACTGAGGTTAGGAATATAGTTGAAGTTGGGGACAAAAATACAAAAAAAAATTGTCCATCTAATAACTTATTTATATTTAAAAACAAGTAATTCATTTTTTAAAAATAGACTAGGCTAGCTATATCATACCAAACAAAAAAATAGTAAAATAAGCTTTCAAAATCTTTGAGGGAATAGCTTCACTCCATAGTCCCGCTGCTCAATACCACAACCAAGCCTCACTACCATTATACTACATGCAATCCAAAGAGAGGTATGATCTAATCGGCAAACTCTTGAACTTCACTTGTACCAACCATAGCAAAGAATTAACTATACAAAAAATTTCAAAATAGCCCTTGTAACATATTAGCAAAAGCAAATATGAGAGCTAGTACACAGATAGCAGAAAGAGTGTTTTAACACAACAATGATTTGTACATCGATTTAACCATTTGGAGAATAAGATCAGATAGCCCTACAAGGAACTCTATGCTTCTACAAGAAGAAGCAAAAAAATTGCTTTTAAGTGAAGCCAAAGAAGAGTTCCTCTAAAATAGATATATAGATCCCACCCTGGTTGCCTTTAGTTCTGGAGAATTAGATAATGCAACCTAACAAAGAATATTAATATTCTATGGCAGAAAGATTTACATATTTCAGCATATTCTTCATAAAGTAAAAGCAGGTAGCATAACCCGTGACTCTATTCTTTATATTACCAAAGCTAATTAGTCGTCCTATTCTTGCTTGTTTGTCATTATTAACAGCTCAGCATATAGGGTTTACTAAGAGTTTACAATCTTGGTGCTTCTGTCATAGAATAACAAGTTGGGACTTTTGTAAGAACAGATTACTCAGATTACAGAATATGGGAGATGGAATCAAGACTTCAACAACCATGGTGAGAAAAAGGGTTGTTCATCAAATATAACAAAAGTAAAATCCTTGTGCAGGCATATCGATTCCCTCTGTACCCTTTCAACTTTAACCTAGAAATCACAACTATTCTTGTTCTGTAAAACCAGAACTCTTGTTGCACTAAAAGCATACGTATGTGGGAGAATAACAAACTGATGAATAATCAAATACCTAATAAGGGAAAAACATCAAAAAGGAAAAAAAAAAGGTAATCCAAAAAAACAAAATGAAGTAGATCATAGAAAGCTTCTTCGTACCAAGACCGGCAAGAGGCTCATCCAATATTAATAAATCTGGTGTTTGAACCTGTGCAAAGAGAAAACATATTAACAGACAGATAATCAATCAAAATATCAATAATTTTTTGCACACAAATAGGCATACGCATGTTTATACAAATGCACATAGACACTTCCTATTTTTCATAGATGAGAAATCCTTACTAACTGAATAGCAAGGGCTAGCCGACGTTTGTAGCCACCACTTAATGAATGGGGATCCTTATCCAAGGATATTCCTGTTAGACCAACCTAGGAGTTATCAACCACATAAAAAGCTGTCATAATTTGCTGGAAAGTAGACAAGCTTTTCTCATTTGGAAGAGAAAATTAAATGACAGTTTAAATCACACTTAAAAGGAATATACCGACATAATGGCCTTTTGAAGTCTAGAAGCAAGAAGCTCTCTTAATTGTAGGCCACCCTTTTGTCTTGGCCACCCAAATGTAACTTCATCAAGAACAGTGTCGGCAACAAAGTATCTGTAGAACAGTGAAACAGACAAAATCAAGTTAAATAAACTGTTGTTGGAACCAAAAAGAACTGTTTAACTTTATATTCCTACCTAACACATGCAATACTCGCTTTACCAATATGTATGTAAATATATAAATCTATACTTACGTAAATAATACCAGAATTAAGAGGTAAACAAATAGTGTTTAGATAATTGCAATGCTGATGATTCATGCAATCTGCACCTGGAATAAATTGATAACTGGAGGAGCTTTTGTCTTTTCAGTAAAAACAGTAGCTGAAAATGCATTATGTTTAATATGAACCTCAAGATTAAAATTGCATTGTGTCGCAAAGAAAATCCTGACAATGCATGAAACACACAGTCAAGAAATGAGTACCTCTCAGGAAATTGGAAAACAATGCCAACTCTTTCAGGTTGTAAGGGTTCAGGAGACTTAATCTGTTCATCATCATCACTATATCTCTGCACATATATGGAACCTGACGTTGGTTTGCTTAACCCTGCAATCAGCTGCATGGAGAAGGTCAAAGATAAAAACCAGCCTGAACAAAGTACCTTTTGGAGGTTGAAAGGAGAAAAACTAAAATGAATTTGAATACAAAAGACAAAATCAAAAGGAACACCTGCAATAGAGTAGTTTTTCCACTGCCACTCCGTCCAAATATCAAGCCAAAACTACAAAAGATCCATGTCAAATCCACAGAGAGCCTCTTCAAATGCATATCAGCATTTGAGATTCTAGTTTCTTCATAGTGATACTGTTCCGTAGACAGCTTGATATGTCTTTACATATATTATTAACAGTTAGGATATTCACAAATTTTATGAAACACTGGATTTTGATCTCATGTGTGCTTCTATCCAATCAAGAAATGAACAATGTAATCTCTAGTTAGCTCTTAGCCAGGATCAGCTGGAAAGATGACAAAGGACTTCTACAGCAGTAATGGAATGTAGTGCATTTGAATTTTAGCAACAGACTGTACCTTTTTTCAGGGATGGAAAGGTTGACTTGACTCAATAGATCGATCTTGGTTCCTGGAGGTCGATAAGAGACATCCCTTATCTCCAAACCCATAAAAAAAAAGATTCCACATCTATTATTACCACCTCCACTATACAACCACAATATGTTCAATAATTCTGGACAGACAAAATAGATAAATTATAAAGAGAAAACTGACTGAATTCAAGTTCAGCATGTTGCATGCCTTGTAAGTTCTGATGGAACTAGAGTTATCAGGAATACCATGTTTCTAATACTTATTAACATCTAGGGTAAGGAAAATTGAAGAAAGAGAAATCATTTGGGAATTTAATAAAAAAAGTTGTTGAATGACTTTTTGGTTAAAGAGTGTATATGTTACAGAATAAGGTCTCACCACCTAATTAACATAACTCCTTTCTCCGCCAGTCCAGTGACGGAGCCATACGCTACGAAGGGGATTCAATCATCACGAAGTTAAACTAGGCAAATAGGTGAAAATTATGTCTTCTTGTTCAAAAAAGATCTCGAATTCCCTACACATAAGAGTAGAAAGGTACAAATCAGCGTGCCATTTTGTATTTTTCTTCTTTATGAATCCCCTTATCAGAATTACTGGCTTAGCCACTACTGTCATCTAGAAGAAGAGAAAAAAGAGGAAGCCTGTGATATATCCATTGCTTCTGCTCGTATACAGATGATAAAAAGCGCCTGCAATAGTTATCAAGTTCCAGAAAAGCTCAAATACCACCAAACTCCTTCAGATAGACTAAACCTCTTAACCTAAGAAGTTAGCAAATTCATAACAACCGGAGCTATCGAGTATCCCCCATAGTGTTTATGAAATAAACCCAGAGAAAAGAAAGCAAACAAATAATGAAGAAAAGAGTAAACCGGGATACAGAGAGTTACACTTCTAGAAAATAAATACCTCTGCGAAGAATTATAGCGTGACTATGGAGTAGGTGAATATTCAGTTAATCAAAATTGTAAATGTAGGCAAGCAAACAACGTTGAACTTTACATGAATCAATTTTACTAAAATTAGGATAATATATAGTTATATAGTAGAAAACCGTACAAAATGATGGCCCATTGAAAAGTGGAAAGTTAAGAGGGCTTTACTTCAAAACAGGAGTAATCGCAGGAAACGGATAGTGCTTCCGCCTTTCTGGAATAGAAATGAGAAAACTCAGCTGACAATTGTGAAATTATAGGATCCACCTCCAGTAAGAACCGGAGAAAAAAAATAAGGAAGAAGGAGCAAGACTCACCTGAATCGCCCGGGAGGATAGGAAAACGTTGATGATCTTCCAAAAATGGAGGAGTTGGAACTGGAAATTAGTAGAGACAACGAGGGAAGTGGAATGCTCCCCATTTTCTGAACTCTGAGCCTAAGGAACAAAAATGTAACCAGAGAAAATTGGGGGAGATGGACGTTAGCGCCGCAATTGAGGTGGGTTATTTAGATTGTGTTGTTGGGTTCCTGGGTTGTGGACGGGTCGAATGAAAGTTCTAATATTAATCATTTACTATTGATCACTATATTGCATTACAAAAATCAGGCAAACGAGTAACAACATTTACCATAACTAATCTTTACTATATATATTACCAAATACCAATTACTATATATTACCAATTACCATATCTTTTGAACAACTTTCACATATAGCAAACACAAAATTCATATTTGTATGTTATAGCAAAGTTTGCATAATTGTGCTCCATAGCAAACATAAATATGTATATTTTGCTATACATATACAAAAGAAAGCAGTTGTATAATCTGTTTTGGTATACATATACAAAAAGATCAATTGTATAAAATGAGAGAGGCGAGTGAACGAGCGAGATCTGGGAGAGTGACGAACGAGATCTGGGTGAGGGGAACGAAAATATATGTATATATTCAATTTTCACGCATTTTATACATTTGCGTTTTTGTATAAAGTGAGAGAGGCGAGTGAGAGAGCGAGATCTGGGAGAGTGGCGAGCGAGATCTGGGAGAGGGGAACGAAAATATATGTATATATACAATTTTC